AACTGTTAAAATATTTCTGCATTTTAACACAATCTGTTACATACCTTTTAAAGAGGAAAACGTTACAGCAACATTCACTGCTACGGTACGTTTTCTCACATAATATGACTTCCAGAAACATGATAATTTTGTCCATAGAAGTGTAACCTGCTACAGACATACCTTATTCCAACGTGGGCTTAGGGGTGTTTGTTGAATTACAGAAGGGTTATATATTTTACTAAATCATTTTCTTCATTTAGACTTTATGAAAGCCCCAGCTCACTAACATAATTAATCAACTCAGATATGTAAAATAAGTCTAATTACTTGTCCTCCTTGCTCTCCTTTGGAGCCCTTTTGTCCTTTGATGTTATTGTTTTGTCCTTGATCATCCTAGAGGAAGATTTAGAAAGTATTTCAGAATCAAATCATACAAGCTTTGTCCACAACATGGTATGATGTTTGAATACTAAACTAATTTGAATTAAGGGAAGAGGGGTATAGGAAAATTCTCCATCTTTGAAACACAGGACTTTTGAAAAAACGAAAGCAATATTTCCCCAAGTTTGAAGGAGGTTTGGCGATAAATGAAGAATTGTAAAAGTGCTTACTGAAGCCATGGTGATTTTCCCTTCTCTGTAATGGCAGCCTCACTGATGCATTAGTCCAAACATTCTATACCATGCCCCCAAATATGTAATCAGATTCTCCTGTAATCAAGTCTACAAATAGGTAATCTGCAGTTCTGCAAAATCAGAATCCCAGTATCCAAAACTACGAGAATTTCCCCCGAAGGAATTTGAAAGGTTCAGTATACCATAAAAGATTTTAATAAGATGAACCTTTAGTGCCCAGTTCTAAATATTTAGTATAATCAGCCCTTATCAGATACAATTTTTTCCCAAACACCTAAGCCTTCAGCCAACATCTGCCAACCCCACTCCCAAGACGAGCGCTTGCCTAAAGGTTAGCAGGATACACGAAGAGAAAGGAGATAGGAACTGTAGAGTAGCTACAAAATTCAGAGTCAACTTACAGGATCCCCTGGGAAACCCTTCTCCCCATGTTCCCCAGGGGGACCTCTGAAACCTGGGCTGCCCTGAAAAAAATAAAATGAGAGCTTCTGAGTTAGCTTGTAGGAGGTTTTTATAATGATGTTAAAATGTCAAGTGTTGGTGTGTGAGAAATCAATCAGATAAAATGTTTCATGTTATCTTCTTCCA